AAAAAAAAAAAAAAAAAAGATTAGCTAGATCTATAGAATAGACTGAGAAAAATAGTATCTCATTTAAGCCATTATTTCCTCTTCACTCTATATTTCATAATACATAGTTTTATTGTATTATGCTATTGTTATTATTTTGTTATTTTTTATATATTCTTAAATATTTATTAAAGACTTAACCATGTACAGAAATAATGTTTTTTTTTTTTAAATAAAGTTTATTCTTATCTTTTTCTTTCTTTTTTTTTTTTGCAGTTTTGGCTAGGGCCGGGTTTGAACCCACCACCTCCAGTATATGGGGCTGGCACCCTACTCTTTGAGCCATAGGCACCACCCAGAAATAATGTTAAGCACAGGGGATATGGCTATATCTTAGAACTAGAAAATATTTGCTTTTATTGAACTTACCATCTCCAAGTCTCTTAAGAACTAAAAGACAATTAACACAAATAATAACTCAGAGTACAAAGCATATTCTTAAAACAGTATCTCCACAGATTCATTCATGTTAACATTATGTTATTTTATTTATATATATTTTTTGAGACAGATTCTCACTTATGTTGCCCTTGGTAGAGTGCTGTGGTGTCAAGCTCACAGCAACCTCAAACTCTTATCCTTAAGCCATTCTCTTGCCTCAGCCTTCCAGGGAGCGGGAACTACAGGCACTGGGTATTTTATGTTACAGTTGTCACTGTTGTTTAGCTAGCCTGGGCTGGGTTCGAACCCGGCTTCCTTGGTATATGTGGCTGGTGCTGTAACCACTGTGCTACCGGCGCTGAGTCAACAGTATGTTATTTTTATTTTTATTTTATTTTGCAGTTTTTGGCTGGAGCTTGAACCCACCACCTCCAGTATATAGGGCTGGTGCCCTACTCCTTGAGCCACAGGTGCCACCCAAACACTATGTTGAATGAAAAAAAAAATTATGGGGTGGAGCCTGTGGCTCAAAGGAGTAGAGCACTGGCCCCATATACTGGAGATGACGGGTTCAAACCCGGCCCTGGCCAAAAACTGCAAAAAAAAATTATTAGCTTTCAAGTTCAAATACTAGCTTTGCCCGAGATTCTACCCAAATGGTAGATAAGTGCTTCATTTATCCTTTCCTTCATGTCACACATCTATTCTCTTTCCTTTCTGGGGCTCAGGATAATCATTATTCTTAGTGAAATACTGTCCTTGGTTCTCTTTTTTCAAAATCTAAACAAGTAAAGGTAAGAAAACTATCCTATTAGGGAAAGAGTGTATCAAAATAAGTGCTGTTTAATAATCAAGGAAAGATAGGGCAGAAGAAATGATGTGAAGAAAAACAGGTAACAGAGAAGAAAATTGAATGGACAGAATAAGAGGTAGGAATTTATATAAGTATGTATAGAAAAATTAGGGAAGCTTAATTATAGCTCTGAAAGAGAATAATCTAAAATTAGTAATGATTTAGCTCTATATTCTCAAATGTACAATGATATGTGTTGGAGAGAAACTGTCCTTGCAGGGCCAGTTGAAATTACAGTATAAAATTACCTGCTGATAAAGTAATATCTTTGAAACTCTATGTTCCTAGGAAGACAGGTGCTATATTTGTTCAGACTATTATTAGTGCAAAGGCTGGAAATCTCATAAATTGAGCTCTCTACCCATTGTGAACTGAAGTTCTGACTATCTGTAGCAGAATGTAAATGGTCACATATCATGCATATGATCATTTAACAATAATAGCACATTCAACTAGTTGCCTCCTACTTTTTTCATGCATATGTCAGGTATCTGACTATATTTACATATGACCTGTGGGTTTTTTTGGGTTTTTTTTTTTGTCTGGGTTGGGTTTAAACCCACCACCTCCGTTACATGGGGCTGGCGCCCTACTCCTTTGAGCCACACTACCTGTGGTTTTTGATGTGTAACTTTCCTTTCCTTTCCTGTATTACTTCCCGAATTAGAAGATTGAGAAAAAGTAGGCTTTAGGGACTGGGAAATTCTAAGGAAATCTCCAAATAAATGAAGAATTTATTTACAAAGATCACTGGGAAAAACCATTAGTATTTTGTTTTTAAATAGCTAAGTGTGGTAGATCTGGAATTGCTCATTTTTTCATTTCTTACAAGAGACTAAAAGTGCCAAATACTATATTTCTTTGCCTCAAGCTGTCGCCCTGGGTAGAGTGCCGTGGCATCATGCTCACAGCAACCTCCAACTCCTGGGTTCAAGCGAGTCTCCTGCCTCAGCCTCCCAAGTAGCTGGGACTACAGGCGCCCGCCACAACGCCTGGCCATTTTTTTTGTTGCAGCCATCATTGTTGTTTGGCGGGCCCGGGCTGGGGAGTCGAACCCACCACCTTAGGTGTACGTGGCTGGCGCCTTAGCCGCTTGAGCCACAGGCGCCAAGCCTCCTTCTGCTTTTAAGAACAATTATGAAATACAGCTTAGCCAGAAATATTCAATATTGACTGATGTTTCCACTTCAGGTCCTTACAGCATTCAAGGTCACAGGGTCAAAGTGTACCAGCCAGAAGGAGAAGAAGGATGGCTCTATGGTGTGGTTAGCCATCAAGACACCATCACCCGTCTTATGGAGGTATCTGTAACTGAGGTAAGACCCTGTGTTATTCTTTCTAAGGTTCATCTGTCCCCTTAGAGAGAGGATCATGTAGACAAAATGAGTATTTCTTACATGTAAGAAGAGGATTCCATTGCTGGCTCTATCACTAAGTGATTGTGTGACCCCGTGAAAGGCTTTTCAACTTTCTTAACCTTACTGTTCAGACTATAAATTAGAGATAATCATGTAAAACCCACTGGTCTCACAGCACTGTCTTGGGTATTGAGATAATATATTTGAAAGTGTTTGGAAATCTGTAAAACAATACACAAATGTAAGGTGTTATTACTTTGTCATATTCATAAAAGTTAGGAGTTAAAAGACTAGTCAGTTAGCATTTGCTTCTGTGGTACTCCTAGGAGTACTCCAGCTGCTTTACCCACTAGGAGCTGAAGAAGATGAATTGTCTTTTATTTTATTTTTTTTTTTTTGAGACAGAGTCTCACTATGTCACTGTCAGTAGAGTGCCATGACAGCTGCAACAGAAAATAGCCAGGCGTTGTGGCAGGAACCTGTAGTCCCAGCTACTTGGGAGGCTGAGGCAAGAGCCCTAGGTTGGGCTTGAACCCACCAGCCTCGGTGTATGTGGCTGATGCCGTAACCACTGTGCTACAGGTTCCTGAGTTGTCTTAAATGGAATAAACAGAAAGAACACAGCATCTGCAGATACCTGGAGAATTGTTTAGGAAAAACAATAGATAAGTGCTTTGAGGAAAGCAAATATGTATTTCTCACAGTTTTGAATTCGTTTTAGACTTGCTCTTAGTAATAATATATAAGTGCTTTTATGTGGTGTTTGTTAAGTTTTTAAGAGATTGTTAAAGTGAGGCCAGTAATGGTGGCTCACTCCTTTAATCCCAGCACTATGGGAGGCCGAGGTGGGTGGATTGCCTAAACTCTCTTAGTTCTTAGTTGCTTCTCTTGCCTGAACAAGAGTGAGATCCCATCTCTAGAAGTAGCCAGGTGTTGTGGTGGGCACCTGTAATCCCAGCTACTTCTGAGGTAGTCCCAGCTACATTGGAGGCTGAGGCAAGAGGATCACTTAAGCCCAAGAGTTTGACTCTACCGAGGGTAACAAAGTGAAACCCCTCACCTAAAACAAAACAAAAGAAAATTGAAAAATAAAAATTTCAAACAGTACACATACCTACTATGTTATAAAGTAGGTATTGAAAGCTGCCCCTTCCCCTAGGCAAATACTACTACTCCCATTCGTAACTCAATTAATAGTTTGGTGTATATGTGGGTCGTTATGGAAGTTTGAAACAAACTGGTTATGGTCCATTATTTCATTTGCAAGAAACACAGTAGAGGTGGCTCGGCGCCTGTGGCTCAACCGGCTAAGGCGCCAGCCACATACACCTAAGGTGGCAGGTTCGAATCCCCAGCCCGGGCCCGCCAAACAACGATGGCTGCAACCAAAAAATGGCCAGGCGTTGTGGCGGGCGCCTGTAGTCCCAGCTACTTGGGAGGCTGAGGCAGGAGACTCGCTTGAGCCCAGGAGTTGGAGGTTGCTGTGAGCGTGATGCCATGGCACTCTACCCAGGGGGATGACTTGAGGCTCCGTCTCAAAAAAAAAAAAGAAACACAGTAGACAAAGTGTCCTTTCTTATTCACCCATGGAAGTATTAACTTAATTTTGAAACTGAAGGAAAAAAGGAGAAATAGAGAATTTGAAATTAGCTTTTCTAAAAGATACATTTGGACATCAAACTCAATGCTTACTATAATTATCTTTTTCTCCCTTTTTCATATTTTCTGCTATCATGCTCCTGCTATAGAGTGGTGAGATCAAGTCAGTAGATCCCAGACTAATCCATGTGATGCTGGTGGATAACACAACATCTCAGAGCGAGGTATGATACTGGACTGAGTCTCTGAGCAGACTTTTGAGCTTGCTTGCATTATCTTATTATGTAAATTATTTATATGTGTGTTTTCCATGGATGCAGTTTGAGTTGTTCAGCCACTGTACATTTTTTGCTTTCGCCATAGACTGTCTAATGTGGCGGGAGGGGTGGGTAGTGTTAAGAAAGAAACCTAGCTTGAGCAAATCCTTTTAAGCATGTCTGTGTTCTCAGGTTGTATGAAAATCCAAGACCTTAACTGTTTCTTCTTATATTCTCTCACGGCAAGTATAATAGAAAGATTAAATTAAAAGTGCAGTAAGGGGCGGCGCCTGTGGCTCAGTGAGTATGGTGCCGGCCCCATATACCGAGGGTGGTGGGTTCAAACCTGGGCCCGGCCAAACTGCAACAAGAAAATAGCCAGGCGTTGTGGCGGGCACCTGTAGTCCCAGCTACTCAGCAGGCTGAGGCAAGAGAATCACCTAAACCCGAGAGTTGGAGATTGCTATGAGCTGTGATGCCACGGCATTCTACCAAGGGTGACAAAATGAGACCCTGTCTCTAAAATAAATAAATAAATAAATAAAATAAAAGTGCAGTAAGAAGTAGTAATATTTATGACCTACCCAGTAACAAAATAAAGTGGAGGAAGAAAGCATGGTAGATTTATATTTATTTACTAATACTATTAGTAAATACTACTAGTAATATTAAGATGAGTTACTAAAGTTTTTGTTTTTCAAATAAACCTACCCTAAGAAAAACAAAGGAGAACCTGCCTCCTCTTTTTTTCCATTAGGAGTCAGTGAGCTACAAGGGAGTCTGAAATTTTGTATTCCCACATAGAATCAAATCACACAGGCACACAGTTCAGTTCTTGGCACAAAGTGGATTACTCCATAATTGTCATGAACCATGTCAACTCTTGGTTCATTCAGAATTATTATAGCCCAAAAAAAGATACATGATAAATCTCTGCCTGAACCAATCAAGAAATTCAGTGAATTTCCCTCAATTGGCCAACTATTCACGTATTCCTAATAATGTCTTAGCAACTCTATAGTATTACTGTATTGTCC